AGGTAGGTAGGTAGGTAGGTAGGTAGGTAGGTAGGTAGGTAGGTAGGTAGGTAGGTAGGTAGGTAGGTAGGTAGGTAGGTAGGTAGGTAGGTAGGTAGGTAGGTAGGTAGGTAGGTAGGTAGGTAGGTAGGTAGGTTGGTTGGTAGGTAGGTGGGTGATTGGGTAGATGGATGGATGGATGAAGAGAGAGAGAGAAAGAGAGAGAGAGAGAGAGAGAATCTGGCTGCAGAACCAGATGCTAGGAATTCAATTCACACTGTGCCTCCTAGGAGAAAAGCCAGCCTGTGTGGCCTTGGGCAAGCTGCACAGCCCCAAAATGCCCCCAGAGGAAGGAAATGGAAAGCCACTTTTGAGTCCTCTCTAACTAGAAAACCCTGAAAAGAGTCGCCATAAGTCAGAATTGACTCAATGGCACACAACTATTATCATTATGTGTTGGTTTAAGTGTCCTGCCACGGGTGTCATCTCAGTCAAGCTGCACAGCCCCAGGAGACCGCCAGCAGGAGACGGGGGGGGGGGGGGTAAATGGCTTCTGAGTTCTTTATATCCAAGAAACTCTGGGATGGTCACCAGAAGTCAGAATCGACTTGACAGCACACAGTCATAATAATGTTTTAGTTGTGGTGTGAACTCGCTGTGAGCTGATATTCTGGAACACGTTGACTTGGATTAATGGTGTTAACATGGAGATGTGAGCTGAAGTGAATATATTTCAAACAGCTTAGAAATACAAAACGTATAATATGTAGATGAGGCACAGTTAAATTCAGTCGCTGAGTATGCAAAAGAGAAACAGCAAGACAATCTTAAAATACGGATGCTTACAGAGATTTTGTGGCTGTTGTAAAATGCAGAGTGAGGTCTCCCTGAATTTTGTAGTTGTTGATACTTCGAGCACATTTTAGATCCTGGTGTGGCTGTAAGTGTGAATGCGAGATTATGAGGTTTTTTTTACCCCTTTCTTTCTGTGAGTCTGTATCTAAATATTTCAGGGCAAGGAATGACGAATTCCATTTTTAATTTGCACCAATCAAGCGAAATCTTTGGCTGTCCGTTCCCCCCAAATGTATCAGGTCACGATTCCTAATTCATGTGGAGAACACCAGGTCTAAAAAGGTTAATCAGTTAGTCTTTCTGTCATGTTGATGAACTGGATACAAAGAAGAGCAGCATCTTTCACCCTCATCTAATCTTCTGGCAAGTGCTTTGATACTGGCGTACCGCACGATTATGTTAGCAGGCATAATGAAATTAAGATGTCAGTAAACAACCTCTCCTCATCCAGTCTTGAGCAGCTGCTTCTGACCTGATGCCCAAAAGTCAACTAGCAGCTTTCTTAATTTCCTTAATGTGCAAACAAGCCAGCAATAGAATGGTTTGGGCATGGCCTGAAAGACCCGCTGCCTGCTAGCAACAACTTCTTTTCTGAGTGGAACGGCGGGTGTTGGCAGTTTTGTGAAGATGAATGAGTATTTCACGGTGAATGTATGAGTGGGCAAAGCGAGCTCAATCTGATTCAATGGGGCTGAAACATCACATTCAGCAAGATTGAACAGAACAAGGGGTCTGCCCAAAACAGAAGGCTGTGCCTTCCTTTATTGAGTCAATCCTTTTCCTATCTTGCCTTCCTCTTTTCCTGCCGCCTTCAACTTTTCCCTGCATCTCTGTCTCCTCCGGTGCAGAAAAAAAGCAAACAACCAAAAAATATTATTAAATGCTTTGTTCTGACAAGTCTCTCCATACTTAGCTCAGATTTCCTTCAAAAGCAATTCTCCATTTTGAATATTCCCAATGTCAACATCGCAACAGAGCTTCAGTGTCCACAAAAAATGCAGGCTGCACAGTATGAGTAGGGATATTATTACTAGGAGTAACATTAGTACCAGGGTTAAATTGATCTGAGGCCATTCACGGACTGTGCAGATGACACATCTACCCAAAATTCCAGGGGACAATTCTTTGTTTGATTGCGAGCTGCCTATGGATTCACCCCTGATTGACCAAATTTGGTGAACTCAAAATCCTACTAGTGAGGAAGAAAAGAAAACCCACTCACAGAAGGGTATTAAAGGTATTATCTCAGCCTACAGTCGACCCTTGCCATGCCTGTCAAACACCGGTAGTTATAAGCTGTTGAAGCCAAGAGAAAGCATCCCTGTTTTTCTCCACAATGCTATAAAATACCCCCTATCCGCTAGAGTTATATTGGCTGGTTGCCTTGGAAACTAGCAAGGGCCTAACACAGTTCAGCTGAAATATTAACCCTGCCTGACTTTCTGCATATCACCGCTGAGTGAAATCAGTTTAAATCCCAGCCCTTTGACTTCACAGGGTTGTGGATTGGCCTGGAGGTTTTCAGCTGGTCCTCAAGGTTTAAGGGTTTGATCTAAATCCCCTTTGAAGTTTATGAAGTGACTAAATCATCGCCATCTGATTTTGCGGTCAAGGCCTGAAGAAGAGCCACCACACAGTCACAAAGATGTGGGGGGATGGGGGGAAACAGAGGTAGGCTTCTGGTAGAGTAACTGCTGAGAGACAGAAATGAACCCAACTCTATTCTAATATCAGGACCCTGGACAGCGACATATCCGTTTCTTGCCAAAAAGCAAGACAATTTTGGAAATGTATTCTCAAAGGCTTTCACGGCCGGGATCTGATTTTGGAAATGGTTCTCCTCAACGTGATTGACTGTGAGGCCAAAGTCCTCGGGGAAACCTGAAGCAACTTGAGGGGAACTTGGAGAGATTTTGTGACCAAGGTATCTTTCGGCATGTTGCGTTTGAATGCAATATTGGAAAATGAAGTAATTGTTGCCTTCTTTAAAAACGGATAGAAGAAGAAGTAGCATGGGATGGTTTTTTTGTGTCTTTGTCCCTGTCTACTCTGTCCTTTGTTGCTTGCAGTATGTGTGTGCTTCACTTCACAAAGGTTTTCAGCAGAAGTTCTCAGAAATGCCAGGAGTGTCTGGCTTAAGGGCATTTGAAAAGAAAGCTTCCAAGCAAGAGCTACGATGGATTAAACTATACTCTGTCTAGTTCTGTATTCTGTTCACAGCATGCCTCAGCTATGATGAAGCATTCAATCTCTGTTCTACTAGGTGGTTGCAGAGTTTAGGCTTCTAGATCATAGGAAGTTTCCATTAGGATTTCAATTTCAACACAGCACACAATGGCACACAACCAATGCCCACAATACAACCCAGATAAATGTATTCAGTTCCTGAATGCCAGTCTGTTTTGCATTGTGGCCCATCCGTGGCTCAGAGCCTCATATCTCTAACTGTCCTAAGGAAGCAGAAAGATTATAGAGGATACCAACCCCCACCACTTTAAGAAGTATGGAGAGTCCAGCCCAATCAGCATGTTCTTTGTTGACTGCAATTTGCTGCCATGAGTGACATTATTTCACTTTACTCCAGAATAAAACTCTAATAAGATTTCAGTCTGCATGGCTGACACGTTTAAGAAACTCTAAACATTTTCGCATATTCCTTTGTCCCCAGATTAGACTCGTCCCTGTTATTTCTGCCTTTGTTTTAGCATATCTTGAGTGTGATGTATTCCCCGAGCCTAATGAGATGGTAGAAACTGCTGGGAAAAGTGGAAGGCAGCAGGAGAAGAGGAAGAGCTAAGGTGAGATGGACTGACTCAAAGTTGGAAGCCATAACCTTGAGTTTGCAAGAGCTCAGCAGGGCCCTTGAGGCCAGGACATTTTGGAGGTTGCTTGTTCATAAGGTTGCCGTGGGCTGGCACAGAGCAGTAAGAGGAAACCACTGAATGATAGCAAGAGTTGGCACCTGAACACTACATTGCAGGAGAAACACACACACACACACACACACACACACACACACACACACACACACACACACACACACAGACACACACACACACACACACACACACATATCAGGAAAAAAAAGGTTCTCATCAACCAGCTCCATCCAGTACTCATTTTTCTGCTTGCAGGAGGTCTCTCTTTGTTCTCGGAGGGATACGTTCCTAGAATAGCCATCTGATGTTGTCTGATTGTCTAGAATTTAGAGAAAATAACCCTGACATTGATGAACCTCTTTCAGAAGTCCCTCGTTGCCCTGCATCCCTCCCCACATCCAGGATGACAAGTTCTATCTTCCCTTCTGGTTGCAGACCTTCTATTCCAGTGGGAGAATCTCATGGAGGCTAAGAACTGTAATTCAATTTGCAGCTTCTGCTCCAGAGGGGTGTTTTATTTCGGTGGAAGATAGCACCCAGCGACCATGGCGCGCCGGTGCACCATTTCCTATGCTGGAGCTCTCCTCGAGTGTTATTTATAATCCCGAGAAAAGGGAGAAGGTTACACTAAAAATAATTAAATGTGTCAGAATGTAAATAAAACTCTCGCAAGGTCACACCGAGCACACTGGGAGAAAGTCAGGTTCTGTTCTTCCAGGGAAAAAGAAATAGAAGAATTGTTTGTTCTTCAGAAGGGGGTTGGCTAGATATTGCAACTTGGACTATGGGAACACTTTGATAGCCATCTGATGATGGCAGCCGAACATCTGCCCCCCCAGCTGCTGGAGAGTCCTAAAATGCTGTCAAAACAACCCATGCATAATGGTCAAAGGCTCATTTTGGGAGTTCTAGTACAGTTCAACCCCCTTATTGACGGGATCAGTGTCCACTGATTCACTTCTTCATGCTATCAATATTTGTTAGTGAAGAGTACATAGCATGGTCTCTTTTACCCTCTCGTGGCCAATTTAGGTAATGCATGGGGGAAATCTCTTTTTCTTTTAATATTTTTAAATATTTTAATATTATCAACAGTTTTAAGTATCTGCAGGGGGGCGGCTTGGTATCAATTTCCAGTGGATATAGGGGTTCTATTCTATTTTCTGGGAGTTGCAGTATTTCCCTGTGCTCTGTGCCTGTTTCAGTTTCCTGCACAAGATCTCACCCAAGTGCAAAATTTCGAATCGGCCCCCAATCTGCTTTTTTTTTCTTTCCTTTCCCCAACAGGCCACCCAGTCGCTATGAAACATGGCTCAGCTGTACTACAAGAAAGTGAACTATTCGCCCTACCGAGACCGGATCCCCTTGCAAATTGTACGGGCGGAAGCCGAGCTGTCGTTGGAGGAGAAGGCCTACCTCAGCGCTGTGGAGAAGGGGGACTACGCCAGCGTGAAGCATTCCTTAGAGGAGGCAGAAATTTACTACAACATCAACATTAACTGCATGGACCCTCTTGGGCGCAGCGCCCTTCTGATAGCCATAGAGAACGAAAACGTGGAGATTATGGAGTTGTTGCTGAGCCACAACGTTTACGTGGGGGACGCCCTCTTGTACGCGATACGGAAAGAAGTCGTCGGAGCTGTGGAACTGCTTCTGAATTACAGGAAGCCAAGCGGGGAGAAGCAGGTAATGTCAGCGTCGGGAACGGATGCTCAGAACGTGGAATGAATGAAATGCAAGTCAGGTTGTTATCTGTAACGAGTTACCTCTGGAGCAAGAAGGGTGCAACCCAGAGGCGTCTCAAAAGTAATGTAACAAGTAGTTAAAAATGGTGTGACTTTCCCGCCATTCACAGGGTAGTTCTGTAGAACATAACATGATGTAGCCCCCTGTATACCATGGCACCATATGGCGCTGAGCTGATGATAATAGCGTGCATGCTGGGGCAATCATAGTGTCCAACAAGGGGCTTGTCGACCTAAAAAAACAAAAACAAAGATAGAATAGATTTCTGGGAGACCTGGAGGCCAGTCAGAATTTTCTCCAATGCAGGCAAACTGTGCCTCTGAAAGATGGAGTGTCAGTTTATTCAAGTCTATAATGAAGGTAGACTGGGCCTCTGAAAGAACAAGACCTGGTCTATGGCCTCTGTATTGGAGTAGACCAACCCTTCAGGGGATTTTACTGCTGCTAGACAACCCACTACTGTAATCCTAACTCAGTGGTGGTAACACAAACTGGAGGGGTTAGGATCAGGCAACCGTCCTTTCTGCCTGCAGAAGAGTCTTTCTTCTGGTGGATCTCATTGATCTGCTAATAGATAGATCACATGGCACAACTGCTCTGTTGGGTAAGATCCATTGGCAGAAAAGCTTGAAAAGAAGAAGAAGAGGTGAGGGAAGAGAAGGGAAGAGTTTCTCCAGATCCTAGCCTCCTCTGACGAAAGCACCAATTTCCCACCTTCGGTCCCCAGATATTCTTGGACTACAACTCCCAGAAATCCTGGCCAGCAAAAGGTAGTGATGAAAACTGCTGGGAGTTTTAATCCAAAGAATATTTGGGGACTCAAGGTTGCGAACCACCAGACTAGGGGCACAAAACCCCGAACCAGCACAAAATCAAGCCAGGGTGAGAACAGTCTTGGTTCTTTTTAACTTCTCCAAGATGGGATGGGTCTGGATTTAGCACTGCTTCAGCACAGCTTTAGGGAACCTCATTTTGGTTCAGCTGGCCGGTGGCTGTTTTGGCTAGCTGGGATTGCGCTGCCACTTTCAAAAGTGGAAAATGATTTCATTTCTGAGATACTGGCGCTCTGATCCCTAGAGGCGGCAACGCGGCCGACCATCACAATAATATGTATTTGCTCAGCACAACCAGTGTAATCCTCTTAGTGCGTCTGGACGGTAAGGTTAAGAAAGGTCATGCTTTCACCTGAATTGTAGGAAGAGAGAGAGAGAGAGAGAGAGAGAGGAAGGCAAAACACCTTTCATCTTTTGTATTTCTGAGGCCAGGGTGAATTTCAAGGAAAGACATGGAAGACACAAGTGTTCCCGCTGTCTCTTTTCACCGGGGATTGCATCCTGCCCCCCCAGAAGGATACAACTCCTGGAATGCAGTGTCAATATATGTAGCAAGAGTTCTGAACTGGAGAAGTGGAGAAGGAACTGATGGATCGAATAGATTCTCCAGTCTTGCGCTTTACATAGCCTTAGTAGATGGCCTCCTTATTGCTTCTGTTATTCCTGCTTTCTCATCCACTCTCTGAGCTTCTGCTCTGGCTTTTTGACTTTTCTCTTCCTTCTTAGAGATAGAACAGTTAATCGCTGTTAGCAGACCTTGCATCAATGGAAACTCCCAGAAGCCTTCACTGCTAGCTGTGCTGGCCAGGTTTTCTGGGAGTGGCAGCCCAAGGACATCAAGGGCCCCAAGGTTGGGAACCAATGCTCTAGGGGATTCTGCTACCAAACTGAGTTATTCTTCCCACTACCTCCATTCTGTATTATCCTCAAATGGAGTCCCTACGTAATAAACAATACAGTGGTGCCTCGCATAACGATGTTAATTGGTTCCAAAAAATTCATCG